TAACTTCAACAATACCCTGTGACTGCAGTTCAATTACTCACTATCTACACACACATTACCTTACATTCTCCTCCCGTGTCACGTTGTCCCCCTCTTTTATATACCCGACTACCCTATATCTAGTAAATACTAGAGCATTCGCCAAAGTACAGGGTTGTTCTAGAAACGTGGCGTCACAGTAGTCATGTGACTCGCTGACGCAACAGTACAAAATATCGAGTAGGCATCATGCTCGCGCATTACTCTTTCACCAATAAAATAAGGAAAATATTTACATTTTTAGTGTTTGACTCAGTCTAACATGATTGCAAACCATAGTCTATGAATAGGTTTCAATCATTTTTTTTTCGCGTCAACCCAACGCTAAATATCAAGTATCTAACTCTACAGTTTTTGTAAACTGGAGACTCCAGCTGCGTTATTCTTACTTGCCTATGTCTATTTATACAAAAGTTTGGATTTTTACTGAAATACTATTCAAAGTTTTATATAGTATTATTGCTTTAAAAAATCAAAACGACTATTTCAAAAGAGTCATTTTATAAACGTTTTGGATCTTTTTTAAACGATATTTAGATATTGCTCGCTAGATGGCGATCATTAGGACTGTGCGGAAATCTTTTTAATTAACGCACGTTCGGGTAAAATTGTTTTTTGTTTTTTTTACTTTTCAAAGCTAAACCGGTGTTTTATAGCTTATGCATTGTAATTTTTTCCTAAATTTTTGTCTTGAATTGTGATTTATTTTCAACTCTTTTCTGTGCTTAAAAGCTGTGAAGCCATACTGTGCATGTTTATTTAGTGATTGTATATTAAGTTGTTTTTATTCTTCTTTTTACCTGGGATTGTTTTCTTACATATATATATCGATGGATATATATAATTGGATTATATTTTTTTTCCCTTGATTTATGATCATTGAAGCTATTTCAATCATTCTAAATATTATCTTTAAAAGTTTCATTTATGTACTAAAACCTTATAGAATAATTTCTCTTGAAATATATTTTAATGTTTATCCAGACTCACTTTCAGTATAGCACGCATTACTTTCTTGATTTTATTAAGAATACCACAATTTTTTTTTTTTAGTAATTATGATTTCAGATCTTTTTTGTAAGATTTACCATGGTTATTTCTATATAATTTCTTTTACCGTCACATTATAACGCCCCCATGGTTGAAATGGCGAGCATGTTTGATGTAACGGAGATGCAAACCCGCGACCCGCAAGTTGTGAGTCGAGCGCCCTAACCACCTGGCCATGTTGGGCCGTGGTGACGTACTTTCGCAAACATAGATACTACCTTAAAGTAAGCGAAAGTCAACAGCTTTATTTATATAGAAATATGTGAGTATTCTAGCACATTGCTTTATTGATAATTTTTACATTAAGCTAACCAACACAAAAATAATATATTTATTGCTCTTCCAAGACGCCCCCTAATGGGAACGTATGACGGGTTACTGATTTATCGACAGCCAACATGATTAAAGCTTGCTGAAGATAATTGTTGAACAATTTTTCATTAAAAGCTTTTTATAAAAAAACTGTCCAATATCTGGAAAAACTAATGTTCTATCATACAGAAGGCTGTGGGTCCATGACTTTGTTGGTTGTACAGGTCCCAATAACACATGAGCCTCACACAGAAATACCAGCAATATTGCAGTTAATCCCATTATTTCCTGGTGGGGTCCTCTCTGTACATAGAAAATGAATGAATGGTATGTTGATGGTTAAACATCTGTTTGGACAAGAATATCTGTACTGCTAAATCTATTGGATGTACATATACGAGTATTAGGTACACAAGATGAAATATATATTAAGTGTGAAATAACAGAAATTAATGTGTTGAATTATTTTATTTTACTTATCCAAATCTCTAAGTAATAATTATCCACTTTGGAACCTAAAGTTAATCAGAGGAATAAATCAGTCAGTTCAGAGCCTCATACTTTTTTTTCTTCTTTTTCGCAGCGTAATAAAAATAAAATGAATACATTGCATACCTCGTTGTCTGCTGACGAGAGTACAACTGGCTTGGTACCCAAGGAGGAATTCGTTAAAAAGGCAGAAAACGAGCAGAGGGTTAAAAAGAATGTTTGGAAAAGTAGTATTACAGTTGTATCACAGTTCTTTTGCGAAGACTGCCAAAAAACATTTAGTAGTTACATTCCGTACTTACAACATTTTCAAAGTCGCACTCACTACAAACGCCTGAGAAAACTCCGCGATTTTGAGGAGGTTTATCCACATCTGATTGCTCAAGGGGCATTGACCCCCAAAATAGGAATTCCCGAAGTTAAAGATATACAAATGGACCAGTTAGCCATTCAGGATATCAGCAGTGTTAACCAAAAAGATAAATTTTATTCAGAACGAAAAAAAGTCACAAAATTGGAAGATGTGGGCCAAGATGATGACATTAAATTAAATGAGCCATCTAAACTGTTTGTAGAAAATTCAACAGATCATACAGAAGATGAGCTTGAAGTTGTCTGTGCAGAGGAACTTGAACATAGTATTGGGTCTACATGTACGGATGAGATTGCGGAGTTTGTTAAAATTGAAGATGACCCCCCGGACATCAAAGCACAAGAACTGTTAGGCGACCACTTGAGCGACAGTACGGATTCATCATCAATAGAAGTCTTATACAAAGAAGAAATACTTCCGTTGAACGATCAGGGGGATAATAAAGAAAAAGAATGGTTTTTCCTGAAATGGTTTCACACCCAGGAATGCAACCATTGAGTACAAAGTAATAAAATTCTTAATTGTATTCAGTCTTATGAGTTAAAGTTTGTGTGAAAATTTAACATGAAGGCCACCTGTATATATGTGTGTGTATATATATATGTCGTATATTTGCAACTTTTCAGAGTAACCTAAAACTTGGATTAACAGATTCTATTATCCGTTACTTCTGCATACGGTTGGATTAAGTTAAATGTTTTTTTTTAAATGTTAAAAACATTTATTTACATTTCGGTAAAAAAAATTACTTAAGCTAATAAATAGTATTAAACTGATTGTAAAATATTAAAATCGGCACGCAATTCTTAATAATTGTTTTACATTTTTTACTTTCTGGGAAAATATGCAAGAATTATATAATCAGGGTACCACATCTATTTTAAAAAACTATAGTGCTGGAAAAGCAGATGATATAACATGAGCCATCTGTTTCTATCTTAATAAACCAATGAAGTTAAGGCTGAGACTCGTGATATTCGAAACTCGTACTTTAATTGCTAAGTTGTTTAATTCTCAGTAGATGTGGGTTTTCTCTTCCAGTGAACTTGTAAAAATAATACTTCTGTTTTATCAAGGATAGTGAACGCTGCCAATTGTGACGTTAATTGATAAGAAATGTTTCGTCAACACACTGCTTTTCTGGTTTGTTTAGGCCTATATGCTCAAGAGTTCTTATTTAAGTATATTTAACTGAAATTTAATATTGTAAAAACCATCACTGTAGGATGACATTAACTTTTAGGGACAGTGAGTAATTGTTTTTATCAATTGCTTTTGGTGGTGTAATTTTGTTCTTAAATGTGTCAAAT